CTTGTAAGCTTTTCTTTTTCTCTGAACTCTTCCTTGGCATCCTTGTTCCTGCCCCTCCCCTTCATTTTTCCTTCTTGGCTCAAGTCACAGAAGATAAACAAGGTAAAATATTTCATGCTATAGCTCCTCTTTTTCAACCAATCAAATGCTTTAACTGTCTCCCCTCCTTTCCTTTGTCAGTCAGCATGTATTTAGTAAAGGCTCAGGGTGTGGAATACAGTAAAAGGTAGCTGAATATTTAATTCCACCTTGCAGTATCAAAGCCTGTCGTTCCAGTTCACAAATGGAAACCCAATCCTACCTGGAAGAATTTATTTACTGTTAATCCCCTGTTAATGAATTTGTTAAATTAGTCTTTGCTGACATAGAAGAGAGCACTTTGTTATATGCAAGAGCTCTTATTGTGTATGGAGAACTTCAGGGGCATTGGCAGGAAATGTGCTTTTTCAATGTTACAAGAAGTATGACGTTAGGCCAGTGTTCGCCCTGTGCATGCTTGTATGAGACAGGAGATCTGGCAAGGGCAAAAGTCATTTTCAACTCATGTTTTAAAGACATAGAGAAAATGTTTGAATTCCTTTTTCACTTAGCTGAATATGCATGTACTGAATGCAATTATTAATGGTAAGGTTCATGCCATAATGTTTTTAGAGACTTTTAAGAATATGTGAAATATTCTTAAAATAACCCTTTGAATTACAGGAAGGGGATGAATGAAGATAATGGCTGGGACCATTAGAAATGTTATAGTGTGGAGACTGGACAGTGCTTTCAACAGCAGCCAGTACAGTTGTCTAGGGTTAGGTCACAGATTTGATTTTAAGCCTTGTAGTAGTCAACCAAAAAAGAAAGCTCATTTTGCAATCTTCTACACGATAAAGTTGTTGCTCAAGAGAAACAACACTGTTCCTATGCAAAAATCTGATAAGAATTTTTCCAAGGAGTCCATGCATGTAATCTGAGGACACTTCAACAGCAGCTTCAGGAAGAGCAAAGGTGAATTTTGTAGAGCTGTTCCCCAAGCACCATCCATAAAAGGATAATCCTGTCATGTGGCCCACACCCAAATGACATGATTCATAGAACCCAGTTCTCTCAGTCTGACTTGGTCTCAACACATATTTTAGAAAATACAGTGGGTTGTATGTTCTTTAGTTGGTTATTCTTAAATGTTCTTTTTCTTATATGAACTCCATAAAATAGTATTTGATAACTCTATAGACATATTTTAGGAACAATTTTTGCAGCATTTCTTATTGCAGGTATATACCAACATTTACTCCTTAGCAGAATGAAGAGTTTGAGGTTAGACTAATTTACTCTTGACAACTGAGCAGCCAAATCAGCACACTGGCCTCAGAGTGTCACCCAGCCTTATGGATGTACTGAAGATGGGCCTTAATAAAAAAAAAAAAAATCAGCCTCATAATATAAATTATTTTGAATCTCTTTTAATATCTGTACAAATTGTAACATAAACCCCAAACTTCTGTCATATTCTATGTTATGGTCACAATAAATTTAGTTTAGCAGATTTTTATGTGTATATAACAAGATAGCTACCTGGTGGAAAAGCTCAGAATACTCATAAAACTTTGTGTAGCTTTGAACAGAGTGACTTTCTGATTTATCTTTGAAAATAAACTACTTGCTAAATCTACAATGAAAAGAACATGTTGAATACTACTGTAAGCCAGTTAAAAAAGCAGAGAGAGGCTACAGAAAGTAATAGGTGAGCTGTAGCATTCTTTATTAGTTATAACAAAACTATAGAATCCCAAAGTTTTAAAAATAATAATGAATTATTGTAAATGTAAGAAAGCCACATACAGTGGCTTATATGAAATAACACTGTTATTAAGGAACAATTTAACAAGCAGGGAATGGTTGTCCACACCTGTGATTCCAGCACTTGGAAGGCTGAGGCAGGAGGATCACTCAGTGTGTAAGGCCAGTCTGGGCTACATAGTGAGTTCAAGGCCATCCTGAATGATAGAGCGAGACCCTGTCTCAAAAAAAAAAGAAGCGCAAGGGCTTGAGTTCAATCCCCGGTTCTGAAAAAAAAAAAAAAAAAAAAGGAAAAAAGAAGTAAGTTAACAAAATGTGGAGCTAAAAATATGGTTATGTGCCACCAGAAAAAAAAATTTCAGTCATTCATCAAGACACTTTTTGCTTTCCTAAATCTGGCAAAATTTAGTGTTGTCATGGTTTCAGGGTTTTTGCAAGATGAACCGTACAATGCAGGACACATTTCATAAGATTATTTTATAATGAATTACCCAAAGAATCATATATGAAGAGTATAGGAAATCTGTCCACACATTGAAGACCAGACTCTAGCTGAGGGCCTTGGTCCCACAATAATGTCTTGTAGAACCTAGAGCCTATAACAGGCCTCTCACAAGTCCAGCTGGAGGCCTAGAGCCCATGTCAATGTCTCATCAGACCTGTTTCTCAGATCTGTGATGAAAAGACCCAAAGGTAAGTGGTGGAGACTTGAAATTTTGTGCCAGCAGGATGAAGGTTCTCTGCTGGCAGGCTGAGGGATCTGCACTGGAGCCAGGAAGAAATACTCAAAGAACCAGATCTTCCCCTGAAAAGTACCATAGTCATTCTCAACAACAGTAAGGTCCTGAGCTCCTCCAAAGATGAGGAAGGCTGAGTTCTCATCTGGAAAGCCAACATGACAAGCTTCTCCAGGAGGCTGAGCAGTGCACCATCTTCTTCGGAGCCAGGAAGCAAAGCTCAAGATGAGAACCAGACCTCCCCCAAAATGAACTATAACCATTCTCAGTGACAATGAGGTCCCCGACTCCACCTCCAATGAGAACAGCCAAGTTCATCAGGAAAGCCAATATGACAGGGTCCTCTGGCAGAATAGCCCAAGAGCACTAGCAGCTCCTTAACAGCTTCCCAACAGCTTCTCTAGTTCTGCTTCCTATGCTGTTGGCAACAATCTTCAATGGACCTCCCACACCCAGCAGCACACTAGTTCGGCTCAGCTGGATATAACAAGTTGACCACCATTTAGCAATCTACTGCAAGTGCCAGTTCTGAAAAAACGTCAGTCTCTGCAACAAAGTTATCAGTTTGAGGAAGTTATGGAATAAGGATTTTTAAAAATATATTTATTTGATACAGGGTTTCTCTATGCAGCTCAGACTCACAGTGATCCAGTTTTGGGGCTGGCATGGTGTGCCCCAGGTTCCAGGGCCAGCACAGCATGTGGTGCCAGGGATCCAACGGGTCCTTGTGTTTGCCAGGCAGGGACTTAGACCACCAAGCTATCTCCCCAGCTTAGGATGTTTATGTTATTGTCAAACATTTTTAAATGCTCTGTGTGATGCTCATTGCTGTTAATTGTCTGTCCAAAAGTCCAGGGTTTGATGCTAACAGTTACCTGCTAGTCATTTCATGATTGTGGTTGATGGTCCTAAGATTGAAGGCCAAATCATAATTGACTAGAATAGTATAATAGAAATCAGGAGACTCAACTTCTGTCCTTGGCTTAGTTTGTGATTTTCTGGTATTTGTCATATCTTTTTGAACATTCTGTATCTTAGCCTTTCTATCTATTAAACTGAGTGTAATAACTACCCTGGTCTATCTCCCAGGAATGTTATATGAACAGATTAAGTAAGTGTAACAGTGCCTTGGAGGTAAAGTCACTGTGAATAAAAGTTAGTGTGAGATAGCTACCGAAGAGTATGTTGCAGTGGCCAAAATGGCTCATCTCTGTAGGCTTCATGACTAGATGGAGCTTTATAGTGGGTTCCCATTAAGCAAACAAAGCCCATTTTGTCAGTTCATCATGATATAGAATTTTATGAATAAGAAAGCTCCTTATAGACATGTTATCTTAATACAAATATGCATTAAAAATCAGTGGTATGGGGCTGGGGAGATGGTTTAGTAGAATAAGCACTTCCCTGGCAAGTGCAATGCCATGAGTTGAATCCCTGGTTCTACCCCCCCACCCCCACCCCCCACCCCCCCAAAAAAAATCAGTGGTGTTAAGGCTGGGGATATAGTTCAACAGCACAGGTGCCTTTCTAACAAGTGCAGGGTTCTGAGTTTGATTCCCAGTACCCCCCCCCAAAAAAAAAAAATGTTAGGGAAAGGGAGAAGGGAGTTGTTAAGCAATGGTATGAAATTTCAGTTGTGTAAGATGAGTAGGTTCTAGAGATCTAACCATCCTGTATTGCATACCTACACATCTGCTGAGTGGGTTTCATGTTAAATATTCTTACCACAATAGAATGAAAAATTTTAAAATCAGACATATTTTAATTAAACAAAACTTTTCCAGGTGCTTTAGTTTATACATAGTTTATAGTTTCTGTAGTCATTTTAGAGGGTGGAAATTAGATGTGTTTAATAAAGTTAAGAAATGAACATAGAGTGCTGGGGAGATAGCTTGGTGATCTAAAGTGACTGCCCAGGTACTGCATGTTGTGCCAACCCCCAAGCCCCAGGTGCACTGAGCCGGCCATGGTGGTGCACACGAGGAAAGAAAGAAGGAAGGAGCATAGGCACAGTGTGTGGGAAAGAGAAATTGATTAAAATATTTTCTATTACAATTGTTATTTTCAAGGCTCTGATACTAAGAAATGAAGATTTTTGCTTTCATTTATTGTCTAGAAATGTCAAACTCCTCTCTGCTGAAGGCATATGTTGTTGTTCAGGTAGTTCTGTCTTCTGACTTCATTAACATCCTCCTTCTCCACTCTACGGATGGTGTGCACAGATTGATGTATAGTAAAGCACACCACCAAGTACCCTGAAGGCAGATGGGATCTGTGGCCTTTCCTAAAGGAAGCTGGAGGGCTCCTCTCTCCTCTCTCCTCCCCTCCCCACATAAATGCAGAGCCCTGTGTGCAGTCCTTGAGAAGGAAAGTTGAGTGTGTCTTCCTTTGTTTGATTGAACAGTGCCTAAGAGTCCCACCTTGACTGTGGCCACTTTAATTTTTAAAACAAATTGATCTATTTTCATCTGGCAGGGGACCATTTCTAGTGGCACTAGGGAAATCATGGCACCCAGAAGAATTTAATTGTGCTCACTGCAAAAATACAATGGCCTACATTGGATTTGTAGAGGAGAAGGGGGCGCTGTATTGTGAGCTGTGCTATGAGAAATTCTTGGCTCCTGAATGTGGTCGATGCCAAAGGAAGATCCTTGGAGTAAGTATTGGAAACTGCTTTTTTATTCTTAGTGAGTTTTAAAACAAAATATTTTTTGTTACTAAACTACCATCTTTTTATTTTCTTCTTGCTTTATCAACATCCTCTCCTTTCATTGATGTTTATTATTATAAAGCAAACGAAGTAGGCCTCTTTAGTAGAAGTATATCAGACTCATGGGGTTAGGTGGTCTTTGGTTTTGTCTTACTGAGTGTTGGCCTGTGTGGTGAAAGTCTAGCCACTGCAGGGGAAAAATAACTTACTGTGGGTGTGCTACCTCAACAGGACTCTTGTTTGCTTAGGAATGAAGAGGTCAAACAGGACCACACACATCAGTGTTTTCAGAACTGACACTTTCTCTGTTTTAAATTAAATTCCATAGCTTTTATAGAGCAGCATTACCCCACTTGTCAGAGTTTAAGCATAGGACACTGACCTCAGAAAATACATAAAATGTGAGGCTTATAATTGATACATTTTTCTCAAATGCATGCAATGTTTAAAAATGTAACTTCAGTTTTATGAGGGCATGCAGGTAATAGAAAAATCATTTCAAACCACAGGCTTTTTTTTTGCAAAGCAAAAAATTTAAGAATCAGATAATACATAATGATTAATAAATGAAAGCCCTGTTCTGATCACAGAATAAGGGTCAGGCATTTCTTATGGATGACCAGAGGCTCCAATTTGCTTTAAGAAGCAAAGATTCCTAACCGCATATAAGGTTGAAAATGGCTTTAGTGAGTCCTAACTGATGCTTTCACTGTGAAAAGTTAGTGTGAGTTTTTTAGTGTATTTTAAATGGGTCTAAAACTTTGAGAATACTTTATACATATACCCCTAGAATTATTTCCATATTAATACAACATGTTGGGAACAAAGGAGAATAGTTCATCCTGTACCTTCCTAAATGATAACAAGTATTTAGTAAGATATATTAATACCACTTTAGTATATAAAATGTTTTGTGGACTCAAGATTAATTAATAAAGTCAAGAGTATTAGAAACAAATAAGCTTTTAATAGTGCGTTTGTATTTATTCTCATCTTTCTTTAAATCCAATTACCTTTCTGTAACAGGAAGTCATCAATGCTTTGAAACAAACTTGGCATGTTTCCTGTTTTGTGTGTGTGGCCTGTGGAAAACCCATTCGTAATAATGTTTTCCACTTAGAGGATGGTGAACCCTACTGTGAGACCGGTAAGACCAAGAGCCATTAGTTGCTTGAGTTTTGAATAAAGGCCAAACATTAACCCTTATGTTGCTATAAAGTGGAAACAAATGTTAGTTCAGGTAGATTTACTAATTACTTTGAAAGTATTTAAATATTTACTCTAAAATATGATAAAAGCTTTATTGTAACTTTTTGTAGACTGCATCAAAACACATTCTCAACTTTGAGAATTAAGAATCGTAAGTATAACTAGGCAGGAAAACTATGTTGCATAAATATCCAATAATTTATGGATATAAATCCTATCAACTCATGTACCTAAAACTACTTTTTATGGTGTAATAGTGAATTTTGAGTGGTTACAAACGTGAGAAATATTTAACTGTAGACTATATTACTGGTGTGCTGTTTAAGGTAACTGCTTTGAAGATAAAAAATTTTGTTCCTTTTACTGAATGGGAGAGTAATCCTGGCTTGGATTGCTCCCTTGGTAAAAATATTTTTAATAAACTAAGCTCTATCTAGAATTGGAGGTCCTATTTGACCTGGTTAGGCCCCTGCTGGGTATCTTCCCAGAAGAATTAAAAACATTATACCACAGAAATATTTGTGTACCCATGTTTACAACAGCACAATTTATAATAAATAGATCTTGGAAACAACCCAAATGCCCATCAACTCAGGAACAGTTTAAAAAGTGTGCTCTTTTTATACAGTGCAATTCTGCTCAGCTATTAAAAAATGATAAACTTGAGGCTTTTATAGGTAAATTGATTCAACCTGAGACCATACTTATAAGTGAAATAAACCAGACGTACATATTTAAAAACTGTATTGTCTCCCTACTGTGAGAATGTGAAAAGGTGTAGTAGATTTTGTAAAATGTGAAAGATCCAAAATGTATAGTAGAGTTTGTAAAATGGAAAGAAAATACTCAAAAGGAAAGAAAAACTGGGATAGGCAAAAGGAGAAAAAAGGAAGGGAAAAACAAATAGAAGCATATATAAATATACACACACCCACATACAAGGTAGTTAAGATAGCTATACTACTAATTTCTCTTAGTTCATCAGAAAGAAAGGTTTGTGCTGATATTGTTGAATAAATAAGTGCCTATATCTTGTACTCTGAGTAACTAATTAAAGATAACAATTTGCAATGTATTAATCTTATACTCTTATTATTTTGTTTTGAAATTTTGTGTTTTTCTCTTTAAAAGAAATAAACTAAGCTGTAAGGATCCAGCAACTGCATTTGTCTTATTACCTGAACTCTGAACATTTCTTTTTCCTTTCCAACAGCCATGTGTGAACTTGCATAACATTTATTTCTTAATAATACTTTTACTTAGATATGTCTACCATAATACTCATTTTAAAATGTGGAACATTTTTCTTCAATCGTATTGCCACTTACTCTGGCTGTCTTCCTCCTGTTGAGTTTTACTTTTACTTAATCTTATGTTCAGGGTCTGGGGAGATAGCTCAATAGAATAAGCGCTTGCCTCGCAAGCGCAAGGACCTGAGTTCAATCTCTGGTTCTGCCAAAAAAAAAAAAAAAAAAAAAAACCTTAAGTTCAAATGTGTGGTGCTAGAAGAAGGGAATACTTGGGATCAGCCAGGTTCCAAAAGTAATTGGCTTTTTTTTTTTCAGAACCGGGGATTGAACTCAGGCCCTTGCACTTGCCAGAGAAGCGTTTATTCTACTGAGCCATCTCCCCAGCCCCTAAGTAGTTGGCTTCTAACCTGAAGCTGGATCCATGGGACTTGACCCTTCTTTGCCTGCTCTGTCTTCTCTTATGTTCACCTTTCCTGGCTCCCTAAATAATAGTAGCTTGGATATACTCTGACTTTTGCACTAGAAAGCCCCAGAAATATTTCCTATTTTATAATTCCACTTAATCTTTCTGAAGATCTACCTTTCATGATGGTGGCTGTTTGGTTAAAATGGTTAGTTTGCTTACTTTAGAAGCTTTACAGGATGTTTTGACTAACTGGCAGATAATCTAGCCAAAATGTAGAAAGCTGTCTAGCCTTATTATCATATTTAATGTGTACTAAGAAGTCATATTTTAGAAACACAAAGAATTTCTTACAGAAATGGAAAAATATTATTGAACATTCATTTAAATGTTGCTTTTAACCAACATTGTCTATTTTTATTTTCTTTTTCTTTAACCTCTCTAGTTCTTAACTCAACCTTCCCCTTTGTTATCTAAAAACCTAGAGGTCACTTTGAATTCTCCCCTCTCCCTGTTCTTCTCATATCCAACCTACTAAGTAAATCCTAGCAGTTCTGCCCCCACTGTGCTATTTTCCTCCATCTCACCTGTCATCACCAAATCCAAATTGCTGTCATTCTTTTCCTGGGCATTATGATCATCACTTAAACTACATATTCCTCATCTCCTAAGAGCAGCTACAGAAAAACTACAGTAATACTTTTTAAAATGTGAATATAATTGTAGTGGTGTATGTCTCTAATCCCAGCACTCTGGGAGACTGAGATAGGAATATCACACTCAAACTCATCCTGTTACCTACCCCTAAAATATATCTGCTACCCACAGGACTTGTTACCTCCCCAAGAAAGCCTTTCCTAGCCTAACCTTCCTATGCAGTGTGAACACACATTGAGAGTATGAGCCCCACAAGAAAAACATGTACATATGTCTTCAGCATTGTGCCTCTGAATGCCTAGACTGTTGCCTTGCAAGTAGGACTCTGGGCATGTCTCGAGCACATGGAAGAACACGTGATTAAAGACTGCTGAGAAAGATACATCTAGGCATTTATAGCCTGCTTGTCCTTAGCCTGAGTCAAACTCAAGTCAACACAATAGTGAGAGCAGCTGCATAAGAGAATAAAAACACTGACAGCATTCTAATTTACTAATATTAAAAGGAAAACATACTAAAAGAAATTTTGGTGAGTATTGTTGTGATACAGTCTAGCTAGAAATTCAGCCGTGGAACCCCTATATTTGTCTTTCTTACCAGTCAGATACCCTGTGAAATTTGCTAATGTCAGATTGTTAATTATTGACTACTTTTATTAAAATGATATTCTTTTTTTATCCTTCCATGAAATAGGGAAAAGTAAAATCCATAACGTGAAATAATATGATAAAGAGTGTAAATTTGTATAAATACTGTTTACCAAGAGAAACCTGAAACATCTTAAACATATAAATCACAAGCCAAATTTTGTGCTAGTTCCTGAAAAAAATTCTCATTATGACTATCTTTGACTTCAGCATCTCATTAAATTCCAAGTTTGTTTCCATTTTCCATAATCATGATCCTAAGGTTTCATCACAGTTAAATTACATGTCTCCTTGCTTCCCCATACAGATTATTATGCCCTTTTTGGCACTATCTGTCGTGGGTGTGAATTCCCCATAGAAGCTGGCGACATGTTTCTGGAAGCTCTCGGCTATACCTGGCACGACACTTGCTTTGTGTGCTCAGTAAGTAAGCTCTGAAATTCCGTAGCAAAACAGTTGAGGATGATTTTACTAGATCTAATAATGGTCAATGACCATTAGAGAAAGGGAGAAAGTAATATTAATTAAAGTTAAATCTTATCTTGTTTACCTCATCCATCTTTTAAATTTCATAAAAATATATAAAAAGCAGTAACTTTTAGTAGACTTGCTATTCTCTGATCAAGCTGCTTGTAAGCATTGTAATTAACAAAGAAAGTAGGAAAGCTAAGAAGGTGTAAGCACAGCTAGCTGACAGCCTAATACCCTAGCACCCTGGCATTGACCAGGTTTTTCACTATACGAAACAAGTGAAGTAAAGAAATTCATTAATATTTTTCATGAATTAATGATTTCATTAAAGAAGTGAATTAAATCTCTGGTAGTCTATGCACTTACATTTGGCAGTAGGCTAAAATGGGGCTAGGAATGTTTGTCAAGGCAATTGAGTTGTTTTCCTTTTGAATGTTTTAATTCTCTCCAATAGGAAACAGATTTAAGGCATTAGTTAGAATTCATGGAGAGAAAGTACATTTAATGTGAACACTCTGTATTAATTTTTCACTGGACTCCCTCCAAATAAAGAAGAGTAGTAATTGTGATTTAAGTAAATTAAAATATATTCCAGGAAAAAGTCGTTCTTCATTGCTTTTCAAAAATTACACAAAATGTCAAGGTAGAAGAAACCATCCAGAGCTCTTTGTCATAGTATCCACTAAGGGGGAAAAATCACCTCCTTCTTTCCTAGCATGCATGATTCAAATAATAATATTCTCTTAAATAACTTTCTTTTTCAGGTATGTTGTGAAAGTTTGGAAGGACAGACCTTTTTCTCCAAGAAGGACAAGCCACTTTGCAAGAAGCATGCTCATTCTGTGAATTTTTGAAAGTCAACAGATAGAGAAGAAATTGGAAGAAAAAAAGGAAATTTTAAATTACCAATCAATTTTTAGATATAGTATTTCAAGAAGTTTTGAAAAGTAATAGTAGCCCTGAAGGGATAAATTCCAACATTAAGAATCAAGTTTATGATGAAATATTTGGCTTCAGAGAGAAAAGGGACAGTTTGGCATTTATTACTTTGTCCTGTATTTTCTGCCCATAAAATAACTTTTATAAAAATCAATTTCCTGGTTGATTATTAAATTCATGTTAGCATGTATTAGTAAAGAATTAAATTTTAGAATACAAACCCCAACCTCTATATGCTGAAATAATTACACTTTCTTTCCTTGTTAGGTAGTTAAAAGTAAATCTGCAAAGGGCAATGAAAATGCCTTAAACGTTATTAGTAAGAATCATTGTAAAAAAAAAAAAAAAAAAAATGGTTACCTTTAAAAGAGCAAGTAGTTTAAACAAGATTTTATCAGTAGGAGGTGACAGTTTTTAAACAAATGGGTATATGTTTTTTCCTCCCCCTCCACATTACAGTTGATCATTGCAATAAGAAAGGCCAGGGAGGTTTTTGATCCTGCCTAGAGAAAGGCTATACTCTCCTATTGTGCCCTCTCGGTAGTTGCCAAATGGTTTGTAAATCCCAAAGGTTTGCCTTATATTAAGATGGGACTCCTCCAGTCATTGTGTAGTCTTTATCACCTTGTTAGTCAAATTGTTAGTCAAATTTCAGTTTTTCTTTCCCTCATACTAAACAGAACTAATGAAATTATTTGGGCTCTAATCAATCTTGTTTTCTCTCTTTAATAAATAAAAAAGGATATGGTTATACATTAAGGTAAATGAGAAGATAGCACTTTTGAAAATACAAATAAAAAATATATTTCCTTCTTTTCAGATAATTCAGATCAGTTTTAGAATTGTGCCATGGACCAAAGATTGGAGAATTATTATTTTGAAGAATTGTTTTTTCTTTATTCTACATTAGAATTGGGTTGGGATTATAATAAAATCTAGACTTTTTTTTTTTTAATGGTTCTCAGTAATAAGTGAACCACTTCCAAATGTGATCATGAAGTCTGGAAACCTTTTATTCATAGAGGTTTGGCTATAGGATGGAAATATGATTAATTACTCAGACTGGCCTATTTGTTTTCCTCTTCTGTGCAGAGAATTATGTAAATACCACATGGAGATAGAAACAGCTCTGCTAAAACTGTGGACTCTGTTGATATTTGCCCAGGGAGAGAACAGATTGCAGGCTGTATTGATACTTTCTCTTCCATTTCCAGAATGGAGGAAGTAGTCCTGATGGGTTGTAACCTGAACTTGTTTGGGGCCTGGCGCTTTAAGTCCAGATGAGTTCCCTAACCCTTCCCCGCCCTCCTCACCAAGAAAGTCACTTCCATTGTGTGCATGTTTGTTATAGAGGAGACTTAGGCTGCAGTATTTATTTAACCTCCCTGAGAACTTGCAAGGCATCATCCTGAGAGCTGTTAGCTCAGGGTCCAACAGGTTCCTTTTTACGCAGATAATAACTGGGGGTAAAGAATAGAAAGGGACCACGCAGAGTAGCAACGTGAATGCTTCTCCAGTAGCACCCTGACTGCCTCCCCGCCCTGCATTTTGTAGGGAGGCAGGCAGTTTCTTTTTTAAAAGTGCTGGAACTGAATTGTGCATTAAATCTCACTGCTGCCTAAACCACCTACAAATGACCTACTGACTAAGTGCATCGTTGTGTATTTAATGTCAGTCTTACTTTATACATTACAAAATGTTGGTGGTTTTGATATGATCGCAATTTTTGTTTAGTTTTGCCATGATAGTATTTGACAAGTTAATGGCATTTGATTTCCAAGAATTTTATTTGATCTGATTTCTGTAAAATTAACCTTTCTTTTAATGATATCATTTGTATTAGTCCTTTTATCCTACATGTTGTTCATGGAGCATTCCTCCACATTTTAATCCCTAAAGGGGTTGCTTACTAATTTATCACTTTCTTTGTGCTTTGTCCATCTCTTCTGTGGCAAGGCTTTAGATTTGTTCCTAAAGTAGTTAATTCTGTGAAACAAATGTTGACCAACTCCAGAAGAGTCTGTATTTTTTCAGTAGGGAATGCCATATTTAATTCACCAGCATTAATCTTTTAATAACTGACAGAGCACTTTATTCTTCTGATAGGTGCCCCAAGTATTTATTTTTCTGATTATAAGTATCCTGTCAGTAGCATTTTTATTATCCTTCACTGTAGAGCACTGCGTTTTAGTCTCTCTGGATGCATATTTTGGGACGCTGTATTTGCCAAAACAAAAATGAAAAGCATAGTATGTGACTCTTAAAATTGTCCCTATTCAAGTTTATCATTTTCAAAATTTTAGTGATAGCTTCAGGTGTGTATTATTTCTATAGTCTAGATTCACATATTGCCCACTCAAATAGCAAATTAAAAATTATCCCTTCTCATATTTATAGTAGCATATGTATTTTTGTGGGTTAAGGTTATATTTAGAGTTTAAAACTAAAACCTTATCATTTGGTCACATAAAAACATGGAAATAATAGTTAAAATGTATAAACTGTTAGTGTAGAATTATTTTTAAAATTATCCATAACAAAAATGTGCCATTTTTAAGGAGTACTATATTACTACTAACATTGTATAGGAAGTAATTCCTTTCTTTCCCCTGTTCAAGTATGAATCCAGCCCTTGAATTCTTGTGGCATTTGGCATTGTATATCAGAGAACATCCAGAAGGATTCAACACTGATCTAATGTGGCTTCAGTTCATCCTCCTTACCCCCAAGTGTTGGAGTTGGATTCTTAATGTATAATTTGCTTCATCTGTTAATCTGTCTTCTGTTTAAGTTTTAAGTTTGTATATGTCTGCTGCTTTGCTTTTGGGTACATTTTCTAATGAAAAATCACATGAGAAATATAATCAGTAGATGATACTTTAATGTGCACATACTCAGTAAATAAATGACTGCAGTGATGTAGATAAGCTCTCCTGCTTTTTCTTTTGGGGCAGGAAGTGGTTTCCATAGAACTGTCAGGGGAGAAATCCCTTTTTGGTGTTCACAGGAGAGGATAAGACGTAATAGATCCTTGCAGAATCCATTGGCCCATCAGAATCCCCAGAGGCAAAACATCTGAAAATGCTATTACATTGATTCTGCTTTTCTACATTGTTCAGCTCTGTGAATAGAACATACACAATATTTGTGAATTAGTAGATACAGTCCTACTTTTAAGAAATGATGGTTGCTAAAATTATTAGATAGCTTGTTGTATCAAACATGTCCCATAGATCATAATCAAACAACATAAATCATCATCTACATTTTCACATTTTGCATTAGCCAGGGTACATTACTTCATGTACAACTCATCCCGATCTCATTAGCTGACTGTTCAGAATTAAGTAGGCTTACTCTTGTTTGTTTATTGACTGGAGTAAGGTTTTTTTTCAGCTGTGTAAAGGTAAGAAGAATGTTTCTGTTGCAGGCTGTATATTGGGAATAAGAGAGAAATTCAAGTCTATTTGCTCACAGTATATTAAACTCCAGAAGCCAACCTTTTAAGGGCAGCAAGTCTGCATCTGACATTTTAATAGTTGCTGTTTGGTTTCTATCAGTCACGTCATTGCACATTAAAATGCACCGACAAAATAAGAGATCTGTCATTCCTTCGTTAAGAAACAGTAATCCGGCACAAGATTTATAGGCTTAAGTCTCAACTGTGTGTTCACAATAAATCCCCATTCAGTGCTCAAACCAGAGCAGGCCTCCCTGTCGCTCAGTTCTTTCTGTTCAAAATGTCCCCAATATAAGATTATCAAAGGTTTTCTTACAGAACGACATATAAAATCCTTTTGCCAGCAAAAGCTCAATTTAGGTTGAAGGTTTCCTTTCATGAGGACTCTCAGACAAGATCTTGATTGTATCAGAAACACACAGGTACTGATGTATTATTAGCAGGTCTGGTGTTAATTAGGGAGAATTACCAGAAATAGTTGGCCTCGTGGAAATTTATTACAAAATCACACTTGACTGATGGCCAAATAGGAGTTGCTGAGAGAGAGCAGCTCCCACTCATAAGCACTAATTAATAGGGTGTCAAAATTCCACAGGGAAGGGTTCATCCCAAGTGTGGGAGCCTCCTAGGGAAACTGGGGCCTGTACAGTATTTAACAAAGGAAGGGAGCTGGAGCCAGGCTACGTAACACGTCTCCGACTGACAGAGTTTTAAGCAACTCGAGTGAGAAAGTTTAACTCAGGAAGCACCAAGACCAGAAGTAGCCTGTATGTGTGTCAGTAAGAAGTGATGTAGATCGTTAACATAACCCGTGTCTGGTTCCCAAATTTCACTTTATGAAAAGAGCTTAGAACAAACCATCTGGTTTGTATGGTATGAGCTTTTCCTCCTGGCTGCATGGGATAGAAAGTGAGTAGGCAGCAAGACAGCCCGACCGATTCGCAAGAAAGGCATGCCCTCTACATCTTGAACATGGAGCTGGAGAAAAGCCAGGAGTTTGCTGATTGGCCCTTGTGCTGGAGCAATGGAGGGAATCCATGGGATGAAAGCTTGCCAAGAAAGCAATTTTTCTCTGTAACTGAGTGTAATCATACAAAAAAAAAAAAAGCTGGAGTCATTGTTTAGAACAATAAAATATCTCCATGTCAGAAAATCACTGACTTCAGGGAGAAAAATAAAACAATTTAGAATTCACAGTCTTTAATTTTTTAGTTTCTCAATTATGGCATGTAGTTCCCAAGAAAAACCAGTTCTATGCCAGGTGAATTGATTGACACTATCTCATGCTTCTGTGTTTCAAAGGACAGAGTTTCCATATTTCTGCCCAAGCTCTCCTAGCTGGATTTATAATTAGTTGTTATATTCTAAACTGTCACATTTGCTCCCTAGTACAAAGCTAGGTTCCCCCCCCCCACCTTTTTTCTTTTGTTTATAAAACTCAGAGCTGGTGCTATTCTAACTTAGAGATCCCATTGATTCTTTAATTCATTTTAATAGATGGCAATATCTCCAGGAGTACTTTTTTTTTTTTTTTTTTTTTTTGTACTGTCATTACTGTGCCCATGTGTCCTCCTGGTACTTGGAAAACAAGTGGAACTAATGTTGGTTTTTGCATAAGTAAAAGCCAGGTTCATTGTGACCCTGTGTTGCCATCTGACCCTGATGACTTGACCTCTGCTTCAGAACCCTGACAGGGTCAGGTGCCCTTGAATAAAGCAGAAGAATCCGTGTAGCTTGTCAAGTGTGAACTCTGAAATACAAGTTAAATTCTGACTTCACCACCTAAAACTTAGCATTCATTTAGTATACAAAATAGATTTTCTGGTACTATTATGAACATTGAGTAAAAATGAACGTAAGTAGTTTGAGTGGAGCTGAAGAGAAACCAGTATTGTACTTCTGCCCTGAAAAAAAGATAAATCCTGTGAATCTATTAGTTTTTGCCCAAATAGGTTGGTAATGCTGTTCAGCTAGTATTAACAGGTTATAATGGACAATGTAAATTCAAATAGAAAACGTTACTTTACCAGTCTGGGTCCAATCAGGAAGAAATCACACAGGGTTTTAGGAAAACCTCAGTATAAAGAATTCTTAACCTACCACCAGATAGTGTTAGTGATGAGAAAAAAACTCTAAAGGGTAAGCAAGGGCCAAGAAAAGACCCAAGAATGAGCCTTAGGGGAAAAAAAAAAAAAGCCCTCCCAGGTCTGGGTCAGGCTATGGAGTGGGCAGAGCTGCCTACTTACAGAGCTGCCCCTTACAGAGAAACAGCCCCCTGGATGGGTGGGCCCACAGAGGGTGCTGGATGCTGCTTGGCACAACCTGGGATACGTTGTCCATGACCCACAGCAAAGTGGTGGCCACGCCCAGGTGAGGAACACCAGGTCTGAGCTCATAGGTGGTCCTGGACACCAGAAGATGTCGCAGCATGTGGGTAGCCAATGAATACACCGAAAAGCAGAATGCATGAGGAACAAAAAAGCCGATTCTTTCTGCAGCGCTAGTGCTGTGATCCCAACCAAGGGAAAAAGCGTATAGTCTAGTCTGCCAGCAGAGTGGTAATGAAGAGGGAGGGGTGACTTGGAGCTAAAAGGCAATAAATTAGTTCTGGACACCCTTGGACACAATATAAAAACTTCAGGTTCTTGACTGGGTTGTAATCTCCATTATGCAGAACATTTCTTAGTCAATTAGCCAAACAAATGTTACATTTTTTACTGTCAAAAATCCTTTGATAATTAATATCCTTTAGTATATAATGTTAGGGAAATTGTGTGTGTTTTTTTTTTTTTTTTTTTTTTTTTGCAGAACTGGGGATTGAACTCAGGCCCTTGTGCTTGCCAGGCAAGCGCTGATTCTACTGAACCATCTCCCCGGCCCCGAAATTGTGTTTTTCAAGGTTTGTCCTTTAAATGTCCAGTACAACTGAACGAATAGTTCTGAATATTTAAGAGATTTAGTTGGACGCATACTAGGATATAAGTCAAGGAGCTTTTTAAAATGAGTTTATGTTATTGTGCTATAATGCATTTCCTAGATGAGGTGTGTTCAGGGTGGTATGGCTATAGATACGTGGAATGTAATGCTTTTCTTAGGGTTAAGTAAAGCATTCTTAATTGGAGGCTTACGTTAGGATTTTAGGTTATAGAAGTTATTGTATATAAACCTCAGTCTGTCAGGAAAATTTAAACATTTTTGTATTCAGTAATAGAAAACAAGCAGATAAATAATATCTCCTTTACAATAAAATCTGAAAAGGTTCAAGCCCAGTGGATCTTTAATTATAACCTGCATTCATCAGATGGCCTTCGTAGTTGATATGGTATATTATCTGTTGCCCATGGGTACACCAGTACACTTGTAAAGTTCTAGTGATTAGAGAAATACTGACAGCCAAGTATTTTTAGTCCACATTTTAGTGATGAGAAAATGAAAACTATTTTCTAAAAATGAATGACTATTAGTTGGCAAGTTTCTATTGACAGGGCAAAAATGTAGTTTTGTCCACATCCTCTTTTAAGTCTGTCTAGGAATCAGGGCCAGCTCCCATGTACAGTCTTCAGTTAGCAAAGGACAGTGTTAGGCATTACTTCATTTGGATAGAATATGGGGGACTTCAAAGCAGCATCTGTCAGGCTTGTGCAGTTGCCTGCCCCACAGATGTCAATCTTAGGGAGGTTTGCAATTGGACCATCTGTTCTTGCAGGATATCTGTGAGGGGATAGTCTTCTGTGCAGTGTGCCATTTGCTGTTCTTTGTATTTTCACAATGCTCAACAGTCTAGGCACTGTATAAAACAACTGTAGGACTAATGAGAAAAACAGAAAAATGGTTTAAAGTAGATAGCATCAGATGTGATCCTATGGCTTATGTCTAGAGGTGCCCCCAAAAAAGTGATGGTGAAGGGCTTCAGAGGTGGCTGAATCTCACGTGTGCCTGATTTGTGGTGCATTGCTAGGAATCAGAGTGCTGTGTTTAAGGGTGCGTGATTGCTAAATCGGTCCACTGATTGATTTGGCACTGCCCTAATCCTGGTAGTCAGAGTATAATATAAAAGCCAGAAAGAGGCTTGTCCCACGCTTGCTTTGCTACCTTCTACCTGTGATAAACTGTTTCTCCTCTGAATGCCTCTCTGCCAGGCCACCCTGCCTTGGAACTAGCTGATTATGGACTGAAACCTCTGAGCTAAATGAATCTGTCCTCCCTTAATTTGTGGGAGTTGGATATTTTGTCTCAGCAACAAGAAAATTAACTAAGACAGTAATTATTAAACTAATTTTAAAACTGTAAGAAATGCAATTAAAATAACTTTAACACTCAGAGGTCCATAATGCCTGTTTATAAGATGTTGGAAAACAGGTCAGAGTGGTTGACAGTGAGTAATGTTGTCTTTTCAGGATGATGAATTTAGGTCTCAGCTGTATGAAGAAAGATGGAAAAGGTGAGGGCTCATTGAGAGCAGAGAAG